AGAAAGGCGTCGACACACTGGAAGAATCCGTAGCACAAGAACTGCCATTAAAAATACATGTCATTAGCGGAACAGAAGACCCGAAGACAACAATAATAGCATTACTTTTTCCAATTGTAAGGGAATTCTGAGGAATATATAGAACTTTTCTCTTCTTTCGGTATATCTCTGTTCATCGTTTTCGAGGACATAATTCCTCCGCAATTCACTCCTCAGGTAATCAAAGAGTGAACCAAACCCTAAACACATCACACAAACGGATCCAACAAAACAAACAAATAGTTAGCGTATAGTTAGACACTGAAAACTAAAATTGAATGTTTAAACATTTTTTTGACTGAAAAAAATGTTTAAACATTTTTAACGCATAAAAAGACATTAAAAATATTGACATCAGATGTCTCACTAAGTGTTTGCGATTCTGAGCGGAAGTCATATCACATCCTGTTGTGGTGTTTTGTCCGCACATTTCAAACAACAACTCAACCATTTGTGTGGGAAGTGTGAGTGATATTACAAGCGCACTACTGGTGATACACCTGCGTTCCCAGTACTGCCAACCATTACCTCATCTGATCCAAGCTCTACAATAGCGTTGAAAGTAAGTGGGCATTAGATTGAAAACAACGGCTCAGGTGTATCACATTGTGGTCATTTTGTTTGTCTGTTTGTGTTTAATGTATTTATATCACTCATTAGCTCCATTGAAGGCATTCAACAAAATGTGTTACGATACGATGATTATCCACTTCTCGCAAACAAGAGCCGCCGATACAACAGGTTATGTTTAAGTAGATTAATGTTTTGTCTTTAGTACAACTCTCATTAAATGTATTTATATTTTATTTTTATCCCATTTTGCGTTTAATTTGGATTACGAAAAAGGCGCAAGATTTCTATTTGGCAATTGAGCGAATATTATTCAAGTGGACAACAAGCACTATAGCATCAAATCATCGCTAACTTAAGAATTACTTAATAATCTCTATTACGGCGACGAACTCAGGTGTTTCAGTTGCCATAAACTCATTGTTATTAAGATTTTGTATTAATTGTAACTAATAGTCTATTACGGCGACGAACTCAGGTGTTTCAGTTGCCATAAACTAATAGTTATTAAGATTTTGTATTAATTGCAATCAAAAACCGTTAATAAATACAAACATTTACTCCTAAACATTTGAACATTTATTTTCAAACATTCAAACATTTATTTTCATTGTATGCGGTATTGTACATATACGGTATGTTTAAACTTTTTTCATTAAAAGCTCCTTCTTTCCATTCAAAATGTTTGAATGTGTAATGCATTTTGCCCAAATCTGGTATAAGGAGCTTTCTGTAGGGAAAGCTCCTTCATTTAAAAGTTTTGAGTGGAGACACATTGACCACCGATGGGTGGCATTGATATACTCACGGAAAGGCACTTCTTTGCCATTGGACTGGTTTTTAGTGGTCTTATTAGTCATGTGAAGACAATTTGTGTCATTATTTAAGTCATTGTTTAGTGACAAGAAAGGCGTCGACACACTGGAAGAATCCGTAGCACAAGAACTGCCATTAAAAATACATGTCATTAGCGGAACAGAAGACCCGAAGACAACAATAATAGCATTACTTTTTCCAATTGTAAGGGAATTTTGAGGAATATATAAAACTTCTCTCTTCTTTCGGTATATCTCTGTTCATCGTTTTCGAGGACATAATTCCTCCGCAATTCACTCCTCAGGTAATCAAAGAGTGAACTAAACCCTAAACACATCACACAAACGGATCCAACAGAACAAACAAATAGTTAGCGTATAGTTAGAGACACTGACCACCGATGGGTGGCATTGATATACTCACGGAAAGGCACTTCTTTGCCATTGGACTGGTTTTTAGTGGTCTTATTAGTCATGTGAAGACAATTTGTGTCATTATTTAAGTCATTGTTTAGTGACTTCTTCTCGTAATTCGTGTTTAAAATGTTTGTGTTTTCCGACGACTTCTTCGTGTCCTCACAATTGACAACACATTTGACGGCATTTCGTAACTCATTGTCCGAAACGCGAGGACTGGAAGCGTTGGTCACGTGTCTGTTGTGTCGGTTCTCCTTCTCATCCGAGTCTTCATCCGATTGTCTCACATCTGATCCAAAAGGAGATGTCTTTTGCATATTTGGTCATTCAATCAATGCTTAGTCGACGTAATGTTCACAACAGTCAACACAAACGACGCGAACACTACTCATAAACAACGTTAACATTGATTATAACTTTTGGTGATTTGAATCCAATTATTTGATTGTAATTTTGAAATTTTATAATTGATTGCATTCTTAAGTGAATTAACCATAAATACAAGACTTATATTTATGAAATTACATTACTTTATCAGCATTTTAATTAAATAACAACATTGTATACTCAATAACACGAGATACATAATGTTGATTAAGCAAGGGACTATTTGTTAGATTCCTATGGTTTGTTTTATAATAAATGTTTTATAATTTATTTTATTAAAATCTGGTCACATGTATGCAAACAAATCTTTGAATTATCTGTTTAATCGTATAATTATTACAAGTTAGAAAAATAAACAAGTACATTTTACTAATATTTTTAAATTGTAGGAAATATAATATAATACATTGTGATGTAATCAATGGATTCGCTGAATATTTCTCGTGCTATAACTTATAAGATATCAATAAATGTAAATTTTAAAAAATTTCTTTAAAAATAATTGTGATATAATTTATTTAAAACTAAATACTTGAACTGATTTAGTACGTTGATCAAATGTTATATCAATTTATCACAATTCTTTTAGTGGTACAGTATTCGTAAATCCCTATGAATTTGACTGTTATATAAATAGCAATTACTTAATAGATGACAAATCAATTAAAATTCAATGAATAAACAATTTATGTGTTATAATTTAATTTATACCGTATTATTATAACTTATAAATTATTATATCATATAATATAATGTGGCATATCGTGCGAAAAAGTATTATTACATAATAATACATAAAATGTAATTTCAAACAAATAATTTGAACTAAAATCAACACTAATAATGATTTTCTGTCTTCTCGTTATTAAAAGAAGTAAATATATATTCAATTTGGTGTTGAATATGAAATTCTGGACATTCATTGTATTTCTTGTGAGATTTCACATAAATTAAAGCTGAGATTTGGGTCAGACATAAGTGTTGAGTGAATATTAGCTAATAGTTGTGAGAGAATTCACTTTTTAAACATATGATTCTGTAAAGAGTTTCGCATATAAATTGTTAAATCATTATAATATTAAAATAGATTTACTTATAAATGAAGTATATATTATAATAACACATATGACTTAAATTATTTTATGAAAACATACACAATATATAAAGTATACATCTTATGTGACATAATGTTTGTGATAAAACTAGTTTCCAAATCATAAGAAATAAGGTTAAACTATATCTTTATTATCAATAATATTGTTATCAATTGGTTTATGACAAAATCCTTAAGTTATAAACTAATACAGTATAATATAACCTTTATGTAATATAAAGGTTTTATGTAAATATATGCGGATGTCTAATGTAATCTTGTGTTCAAATTCATATAACTGTAAAACTACTTGTAAAATATTCAATCAACGTTTTATAAAATTTTAACCATATTGTATTGAATTTAAACAATCATCAAATATTATACTTAATTTCTTTGAAATTTTTATTTTAGTGTATTTATATTTAACATCAAATTATTAAATGTCATTTTAAATGAATCCTTCATTTTAATTATTGATATGAATTATGTATACAGTATAACAAAACAATTATTAGAAAATTATATATTTATCAAACAAATGATTTATTTAGTATTTAATCAATATATTAAGCAGTATATCATTTATAATGAATTTTGTGATTTATATACCAAATGTATAAACAGTTTTCTAAACTTTTCTAAACCACTTCATGTCATTCATCTTTCACCGTAAAAAATTTTATTTACTTTTGTTTTAATTTTTTCCCAATTATTAAGTTTAGTAAATACTCTTATTATAAAATAGTATAATAACATGTCATTTATAATTAAAATCAAAACAAATAATAAGTATTGTTTTATAATAATAATTGTATGATTATTTAGAATTATATTTTATTGCATTCAAACATGTTTCTATATTAAAGTTCATTATTGTGTATTTAATGACAATCATTAAATTGTATATAATTTAGATATTATAGTATTATAAACATTGAATATAATAAAAGTTGACGAAATATTTATTTATAGGCATTAATAAATTATATAAAGACTATTTTTGCGTGATTTAACTTTAATATAATCATATTTTATTGTATAAAGTTTATACACTATAAACCGATTATATAAAAAATGTCTAAAACAATAAATAAAATATCCTACAAGAAAACTATTTGAAATAAATCTTAAGCTTAAATGTTATTACCATTAACTGTTATACAGTAAAAAATTGTATTATAAATTCAATAAAATGATGGCCTATTAAATCAATTGGTATTAACGGTTATATCGTCTCTAAATTGCTTGAAAAATGTTAGAATATTTGTGCTAAGATTGAGGCACTGTTTAATTCTTATGTATATTTGTATTTCACATTAATATTCAAATCACTATTTAATTCTACATTAAATAATTTATTAAACGTGTTAAATAAAATGAGGTAAAATGTTAGGATTTAGTTCACTGTCACTCCTAAGCAAACCGTTTACCCATTTTTAAACATGTTCTGCACTTTTGATCAAAACATTAAAATTTACTTTTTTTAAAACGATTTCAATTAGTATTGTTTGATAACAGAATTGCGAGAATATACTCCTCCCTGTATATGGGGTTAAGCATAACATACGATAATATATATTATTTGGAAAATGATTGCATTAATTATGATTCAAAATAAATAACAACAGAATTGAAATCGTTGTTCTCTTATCAAGAATATACTCCTCCCTGTATATGGGGTTAAGCATAACATACGATAATATATATTATTTGGAAAATGATTGCATTAATTATGATTCAAAATAAATAACAACAGAATTGAAATCGTTGTTCTCTTATCTGTGATTACAATTCATATATTGTTTGTAAATTTTAAAATAAAATTAATATATACTTCTAAAAGTTATAGCCTATAACTAAAAATAAGCAATAATAAAATCTACAAAATTAGAGTGTATTTGTTGTCTATTTTCCTTTTAAAAAATGTACAGAATTAACTATGACTGTATTAACAGTATTAACTATATAACTTTTTTACAAATTATGCTAAAACATAAAATATCTGAAGCAAAATCTGAAACAAGACCTAAACATAGTATTATATAATATTACAAACTTATAAAATGGTTAAATTGGGTTATAATGAATTTGATAACAAGATATTATACGCTCTCATCTCAGATATCTTTGATATAAATGTCATTTAAAAATATTTTGTCTTTAAAATTACGTAAATATTTAAATGCAATTTCAATTCATTGCCGGAATTCACAAAATAGTCGTCAGTAAATGTGATGAAACGATAAATAATTTGTTGCAAACAATCAAATGGAGAGAAGACACACCTTTTTAGTGATATATTATTTATTCAGAATTTAACGATTAAATAGGAAATACATCCGATGCTGACAAACGCTGTATTTGTGTTGCAGTTTCAGAGTTTTGTTTTTTGTATTAAATTAACCCAAATTGTGTTTGCAATACATGTTTTTGTTGGTTTTGGTTTTATATTATTTCAATAAAATATATTACATATATTTAAATAATTGTTGAAAACCTGATTAATGGCAAAACTTCCCGCTAAAGACGTTGTAATGAAGTGGACAAACGAACAATTGCTTGATTGGCTTCAAAAAGTATATTTCAATCAATTTCACTAACAATTAAATTAAATTATATTTTCAAAAACTAAATCTTATTAATATCTGAAATGTAGGAGGAATTACATGACTGCCTGCAAGCCTTCAGGATTAGGGCTATCACTGGCGCAAAGTTTTTGGTGAGAGACTATTGAATTATAAATGAGACAAAATATGTGTGTTTCAGGGATAGCGTAACACAAATAGTTTGTTAATTAATTTTGTTGTTTTTGTTATTTTACAAACTTTAAACTCATGAAAATCTATATAAATTTTATATGAAATGCATAATTAATTAATAGTATGATTGGGTCTGAGAGACGGGGCAATCAAGTTGTGATGTTTTTGAGCGGCGGATGCCTTAGGCTTACACAACAAGTCACTCATTAACTGTTATATGATTTGCTTTTTCAGGATCTGAGCGACGATTTGGTCGTTACCTTCTCGGAGCTCAAGATTTTCAGACGAAGGTATGACTACAAGCGCTTCCAATCGATGCCATTCTTGTCTCACATTCAATGCCTATAAAAAAATTCAATCATTGAATGTCTGACCAAAAGACAGATTGCATTTGATTACTAGTTTGCCATTGAATGGAGATTCGCTTCAATGAGTTCATCAGTTCTTATGGAGTTTTCATCATTTGAATTGACTTTTAATACACATTTGTTTAAACATTCAATCGATTGAATCCATAAGAATATTGAACTCAAACCACAATTAAAACTATTAAGACATTACAGAAATTACTGTACTTTTACCAGAAATTAGATTTTTACAGATTATGTCAGTATAGCTCAGCTAACGTGTAATATTGAGCCAAGATTTGTATCACTTTATGTCTCCAGTTATTATACAATATAGTAATGTGTATATAATGGCTGCTACAGTATATAATTGAATTTAATTCATTTTTCACGTATTAATACAAGATATGATATAACGATATAATTTCTATCATTTAATGAAGTAATTCTTTACACTCAAAAATGTTCACAAAAATGTTTGAAGTCGTCAAACGAGAACTTATTTTTATTGTTATGCTTGAAATCTAAATTATTTTGCACTCAAAATGATTTAACTTTAAATACAAAGAACTGTATGCGGAATATAAGTATCCAAATATTACTCATTTGTATTATCAATGAAAAGTCAATTATTCAAAGAATTCCGGAACTGTTCGCTAAGTTTTGCTAAAACAAAGTTATGATTAATTTTTTTGATTAGATTATTTAAATTCATTAAAATTTTATTACAATTAGTTATACATTAGGTTTGAATTAGTATTAATATTTGTCTGAAATGTAATAAAACTATACAACAATTATATTTCATAACTTATTTATAATATATTACACTTGAAATAATACCGAGTGATACGACATATATTATATTATATGATATAATCTACAAGTAATATATAAACATGTTTTGGGACACAATTACAATGCCTTGTGATCTAATGGTAATAATAATTCATTAAACAGTAATGTCATGTCTAAACATTTAAGCACTTTTTGTGACATAACTATTAAGTAATTATAAATTAAGACAACATTAGCGAAAACATTAATTTGTCTGCTTTTTATATATCTTATGTCCTTATATTTAATGAATATTTATTCAACGCTTATATTCTCATGAGTTATAAATACAAACTCAAAAGTGAATGAAAATAATTACTGAAAAAGCAGTTAATTTTGTTGAGACAATAGTGCGGCAAAAGTGGAGCACTAGAGCCACAGAACCTGTTGGATAAAAGTGCCGATCATTTACACCGAATGCCTGCACTTATTGTAAAAAATATAGAAAAAAGTCTGATTTACTCCACAGATATCATATATAAAGTGCATTAAAGAGATCAATACAATGAACAGTGTTTTTGGTTGGCATTCAGGTTACAGTTGAATGAATTGATTGCATAAATATTTTATATACTCTCTATGTTTATAGTATAGGCGATGCATAGTATCAAAGAAAAACACCACAAATGGTCTTATAATAAGAAATGAGTACATCTTATATACAGGCAAATGAAAAAAGTTTTTTCAAACTCACGTTTGAGAAAACGCTTGCATCGCAAACATCATTGAAAACCACTTTTTCTAAGCCAGTGAGAGGGGAGGGGAGAGCCAGGCATCTAAACCCTAAACAGTGTCATACAGTGTAATGCTTTTCCCTATGAGTGCCTTAACGTTGTGTGCCTTTTGCTAAACATTCCTCACAAAACTTCAGTTTAACGCAATGTTTGGTGAAGTTTGAGCACTGAATCGCTTTTATTGAAACAATTCTCTTCATTCAAACACAACCCATAGTTTTGGCAAAACTTTTACTGTTTTACTGTTAACCAAATGTGTTGAATGTGTGGCTCAATGTGTTGTGCACTTTGTGTCTGTGCTGTTGTGCCGGACCTCCAGTTCCCTTCAGTTGCCTTCAGTTTCTTCACTAAACAACTGTTTATGAATTCCAAGTCATAAACGCAGATATATTTCACATATTTTTGTTTTAAATATTTCCACAAAACTATGCTTTAGACACGAACTGAAACCTAAAATTGTTGTTTAAGACTCATTTCAAATGTGAGACAAAATTTTCCTCTAAACTGTCATTCAGTTATCAAATCTTGTTTTTTGTCTTCAATTTCTTAAAACACTTTTATTAATATTTGTATTACAACTACACTAATGTGTGTATCATATAAAAGGTGTATAAATATTGTGTTTTTTGAGTGGAAAAAACGGTATAATCAGAGAATTGTTATCATATTTATATGATTTTCATAGTGTGATGAAAATGCCATCAAATTGTATCTCCAGATGTATGTCTTGTATGGCATAAGCCGTGAATGAATACACGTTTATAAAAGTTTAGTTCACTTAACGATTCTTTCAATACAAATGACACTTTATTTTTACTCAAAAAGTGCTTTAATTGACTGTTTGTTTTCAAATATGAACTTCATATCAATTGCTTCATTAAATTATGTAATAATGTGTTTGTAATGAAACACATTTTTCTCATTCACTATTCAAACTGATATTTAATTAATTTAATGAAAAACAAAAATGTATTGTTTTGTGAAGTTTTCTGCAATCATAATATTGTTTAGACGTGAATGAAATGATTGAATGCTAATACAAGTTGTGCTAAACATCTCGAAAATGTTGATATAATTGTATTTACATTATATTGTTATAAATGATAAACATATTGTGTATATATTGTGTTCAAACGTGAATCCAATCCTAAATAATGGACACAAAAAGACTTTCACTAAACAATTTGCACGACTCTATCAGAAGCACGGGTTGGCCCACAATTAAACTCGTCAGGAGGTATACAATGACACACCTTTGCCTATACTGTACTCTACACCACATAACTGTCCCATAACTTATCAATTGTTAATTATTGTTTTATTAGTCAAACACTTCAATGCTTTAACTGATTATTCGTATCTTTTTTCCATAATATTTCTCATATTAAGCCTTAATTTTGTTTTAATAACAAATTCATTAATATATTATGTTTTTCACATTATTTACGACTTTTAAGTCAAACAATGCTATTATACGAAACATTTATAGCAAAATATATTACTTTATTTTCTTAATTTACTACTTATTTCACGTCGTTTTGGAAATTTTCAAATTATGTTTTTAACAAAAAAAAAACTTTTTAATGGAATTTTATGAATGCCTTTGAAATTGTTGTTTAACTCAATTATTAATACATTTGTCGGAAAAAACAATTAATTTTAAAGAATTTATATAAATATTTGTTGCAATTAATGATGAGTTTGTAAGCATATGGTGCATAATGTGTGGGCGATCTTCACAACAGGTTATGAAAAGGCTTTGAATTGAATGCTTTTTACCTCCACTTCTTAGGTCTTTGTCTGATATGAAAATAAAGTCAATAAAAGTTAACGCATTTTAGTCTCTAATCTGTCGGTGCCATCAATTGTGGTCTAACTTCTGTTAAAGGTTTTACACAATTTGTAATTAATTAATTGAGTTTAGGGTTTGTGTTAAACAAAACCAAATTTTCATAAAATACTTGTAATGAAGTGAAAGGGATGTAAATTTGATAAATAGTCGTAAAATAGAGACTTCCGTCAAATCATAGTTTTTCCACAGTTATAGCCATAAGTTATGGCCCAAAACTAATAGAGTTCTCTAATTTGCTACACATTTGGTTTATTTACCATTAAGTGCATCCGTTTCGGACTATTTGTGCCATTTGTCAATAAAATCAGAAATTAGTTTTATATACACTTATTGTTATTTTTATAAAACATTTTCAATTTAATTGTTAGCAAAAAATATGTATTTTAAAAGAAAACCACAATCAAGTCATTGAACTTATAAAAAAAGTTATAAAAAGCATGGATTAAAATATTTTGAGCATTGAATACGAGTTTCGTTTTATAATTCATTGAATAATTTGATAGCATTTAAAGATATGTTGTTTTTTTTTGCAGACAAATAGTTAAATGCATTAATGAGTGCAAAACACAAGCGACTAACGCAAAGAAATTGGTGGACAATATAAAAGAGAACTCGAAACAAAAGGGAACCGATCGCACAGGTATTGAATGCACTTTCAATCAGATGCTCATATGAATTGACTGATAGGGAGCGTCTGTTTTGGTACTTATTTTTTGATTTTTATTGCAGAGGATGAAGAAGACGATGACATCAGTTGGGGTTCAGACTTTGACGACGATTCCGATGAAAACGATGATTCAGTGGAGATCGCGATCAATGAAAAGTCCAAAACAAGTCTTTTTGAATATAGTTTAAAGCAAAACAACAGCGAAGACCTGCTCTACGAACCGGTTAGCGATTATATGAGCGATGGATCGTTTAGAGCCCTCGACACTGAACTCCAATCCACTAAAACTGATGCAAACACTCTTCTAAGCCATACTCACGAACCCATAGGACATGTTCTCAACAATACAAACAATATAAGCAAAATTGCAGAATCACTTAACTTAAGCTTCGATAACAAACAAATTAATACCAATGGGTTTGGGAGTGGGGGTGTGGGTGGGGGCGAGCCATCACCCAAACCAAGTCCAAGACTTATGCCAAAACCTCCGACCACTAAACCAGAAGTGCCTAAAAATAAGCCTCAAATGTAAGTCATTGTTCTTTAGGGACAATAGTTACAAATTTAGACAACAATTACTGACAATTATATCTATTTTAAAGCCTTCCTCGGAAACCAATTATGAATAATGTGGTGAAAACAGCACCAAATTCTCAACTAAAAAGGCCGCCATCAGAGCCGCCGCCGCCACCTCTGCCAAAGTCTCCGCCGCCGGTCTCAGCATTTGGTATACCTTCGGATCTAAACTCACTTTTGAGTGAAAGTTCCAGTTATTCGTCAAACTCTCAAAACCAAAGCGAAGAAAATTACGAACAAATTATTTTACCGCTTACTGAAGATGAATATCTGTCGCCCATTAGTATTGAAACGCCTGTCATTATGGATGAAAACAAATGTTTTGCTCCAAAAGCACAGTTCTCTTCCTCTCAATCACTAAATCAATGTTTGTCTGAAGATTACGAGCCGTTCCGTGAAATGAGTAAAAGTGTTGAACAGATCCATCAGATGTGCATAAGTGAAGAGAATTACGAAGAAGTCAAAGAGTTTAATGAAATAAATGACAATCATTTAAATTACAAACGATCTGTCAGTCAAAGACCACTATTGCCTAAAGTGAAGGAAACATCAATTGTGAACAAATCTAAACTCATTTCAGATGTGTTTCCAAATATTCCGAATTGGAATCGAAATTCAAAGGACAAGAAAAGTGGAAAAGAGAGACCAGAGAGACAAGAAAGTGACACCAATTGCGATGAGAACTCATTAAAGTCTCATTCACTTGAGTTTATTAATCACAACAATTCTTTGGGTAAATATAATTGATTTATTAACTCAACATTTAGTTATGGCTTAATATGAAATGTAGATTAAGTTTGCAATTTAGGGCTCATTTTAATTAAAGACTAGTTTCTAATAGTCGTTCACTCATTTAAAACAACTCATTATTTCACTTGATTTTCCAAAAAGAAAACTTAAGACTAATTATAGCTTATAGTCGGCTATAATCATGTCGTTTGGATATTAAGTGAATGTATTTATCAAATTGTATCACTTAAAGCCTACATCACATGAACAATGTTATCTTATAAGAGTTGCATTAATACTATTAATTTAATTAATATATGGATTAATGAGAAACTATTTAGAAGTTTACATTTAATAAAACCGTCATTTATTTAATCCTTATATCCTTTGAAACTAAACCAAATCAAGACATAAAGTATTTATTTAGCCAATTATTTCATCTATTAATATATAGCGTGATTCAGGCAATAAACACATAATCAAAAGCATTTTGAAGCGTTAACTTTTATAACCAAGAGTAGAATTATAGTAATTAATTTACTCATCGGATTCACAAAATACCGTATATTTATGTTTATGATTACAATTACACAACAAATTGAAGTGTGAAGTCATTTAAACTATAAACCGTTCATAAATTATTGAATCCATGTTATTATGGTTAATGTAAACAGCATTGGCTGAATGCAAGTCAATTAAATATGCAAATTCATGACAAATATTACCCTAATATTGAATGAATTATGAATTTCTATGGTTAGTGAGAAACATTAGTGAGAATTTTCAGTCCATAGTTTGGGCATGTGTGATTTTATAAATGAGAAACAACTCTTTTCAATGCTGTTTATTTTTTATTCATCCATGGTCATATTACAAACATAATGCCACTCCTAAATTTAAATATTACTGTATATAAAGTATAATATACATATTATGTGATATAAAATATCGTTTTTATGTGTTTTTGCTAACCTTATGTCAATAAATGAACATTATTTTCTATAATGAACACAATATTTGAATAAATAATCCATTATTACATATACAGTATATCTCGGATTTATAAAACCAAAGCAAAACATAAGCTATTGAATAATGTTGTTTTGTAAATAGAGATAAGCTATACAAATAATGGCATAAAAATAATTCTTGGTAAAAATTGTGATACTGTGTAATTTCTAGATACAATATTAAACAAATACAATGTGAGCCCACGTTTCAATGATTTTATTGAATCTATAATTGAATGTGTAATTAATTAAATTACAAAGATTTCTATTTCTATTTGAATTATAAAATATCTTATAATGAATTTTAATGTTTATGGCATTGAATTATACGAATAACTTATACTGAATTGAATACTGTATAGCAATTAATAATTAGGTCGGTATTACTTTTAAATATTTTGCTTTAAATATAATATAAATACTGACAAAAACAATATCCAATATATACTACAGAACTGACCAAATGTTCATTTGTTTCAATTATTAAAGCAATTATTTTGGGATTATTTTATAAATCTGTAAATTATTTAGTTAGAGAAATAAATATAAAATAAGAAAATACTATACAATTAAAATGGATTAAATTAAAACATTAATTTGTGTAATAAATATAATCTCAAGTGTAATAGATTTTGCGGATAATTCTTGCCCTCTGGTCCTCATTGTCTGCTCAAAAATAGTCAGAAATGGGACAC